AGCAGGAAGTGAAAGAGGAACTCTTAACCTATACCAGACAAGATGCTTATAACATGGTAACATGAAGGGATCTCCAAGCCCCTGCTTTTCGAAGAACTTGCATATTGTGGCTATGAACGATGTACTGAAGTATGTCTGTTGGGTTTGTATTGCGCTGGTCAGGTGCCCTTGCACGAGTATTGTGCTCTTGAAATTGAAGCTGTCACTCTGTGGATACTTTTAATTCTGTAGAGTAGCAAGCTGCCTCTTAGCAGGAGGACTTGTCACTTTGTAGGTGGACTTGGAATTGCACAGTTATCTACCAAGGTGGTAATAACTGAAGGAAGAGACTGAGAAAAGTATGCTGCCTTTTGAAAATTAAGATGAATTCCTTAAGATATTTTTTTTTTCTAACTATTTTTCATTATAGTTATTGCAAGCATGCTTATGTTTCTAAATGCTGGGTTCTGGGCTGGATGATGTATTGAGGTATCAAAAATTCCTTGTTTCTCACACAGGAATTTGTCTGTGAAGGCCCAGATGGAGAAATAGAAATAATGCCTGTAAGTCAGTAGCCCTTATTTCATCTGAATGAAACCTTACCTAAAACGCTTAAATTAATGGCAAACTATGGGTTGGTTGTTGTTCTTGATGTTTTGTGTTGTTTTTTGGGGTTTTTTTTTAAGCTTTGGACTCCCCCTGTTGTACCTGAGAATCACGATGACATCTACACAGATTCTGTTACGTGTCTGATGTATAGTAGTACCCCGATTCCAGAGTCTAAGCTTCCACCTCTGTTCGTCGGGAGGGCGCGTAAGCGGCAGAGAACAGATCTGTCCTGTAAGTTGGATTCAAAATACATGGGAAGGTGCGGTAACGTTTTTGTGTGAAGCAATATGCAAACTCTTTTGCAAGAATCTCGTTCAGTTTGTGTTTAAAAATTTAGGCATGCATGTACCATTATCTCTGTTAAGCTTGAAATCGCTCAGCAAAATGATTGAATATAGAGTGAGAGAAGAGGGAGTGCGCTGTGAAAACTTGCTCTTGTCCTTACAAATTAGAAGAATACAGGTGGATTAAATGAGCAGGAGTAAAGCAATGAGACTACTGTGCGTCCATCTGATCTGTTTTTAAGCTTATTTTCGTAGTGAAGCAAGAAGCTGTTTAAAAATGACTGATCAAGTCAAACACTGTACCAGGGGACCATAGGTTGAGGGTAAGTGCATTCAGAGAAGTACTGCAGAAGGCTTATCGTCAGTCAGATGATTTGCAGCAATCAATTTTCTGTCATGACCTTGTTGCACAAAGTTCCTTTCTCACTGGAGAGAACAACTTTTTCCTGTCAATTAGCTTCAGGTGAGAGAAAGAAGCGTTGCCATAGAAGGACAGCTGTTCCTCCACCTTCACTTTTCAATCAAGTGACTCAAGAATATTGAAAACACGACGGAAGAGCAAAGCTCGGAAGACCCTCCTCTGGGTAAAACAGCAAACCTCTTTTGCGAGATCTTCGTCACCTCCCATCGAGTCAGCGGCTGACACTGGGCAAGATAGTGCTGCGTGGCTAATTGCTGAAGACTTGGCACTGTTAAAAGTAAGCTGGTACTTAGTTTTTATGGATTTCAAAAGCGTTTTACTTGCAAGTTTATGACAGCATCTATAGACCTTGATTAATACAGGATTATACGTGCTTGCGCACACAAGAAAAGCATTTAATTGAAACGTTACACTGGTTTGATTTCTCTCTGCCTCCTAGGCGGTGAAAGAGTTACGGGCACTTCCTTTAAACCTTGCTATTGTGTCACCAGCATGGACAGCAAACTGGGACTTCGTCAGCGATGTCGTTAACTCTTGTAGCTGTGTTCATCGCTCCCCAAAGCAATGCCAAAATCATTACCTAAAAGCATTTGCAGGTCCAGAAGGAAAGGTGAGTTCAAGTTGAAATCTGCATTACATTGTGAAGACTTGGGGTTTTTTGGGTTTTGGGGGTTTTTTTTGTTTGGGTTTTTTTTTTTAATTCCTCATTGCTGTTAGTGGACTACACGAGTGTTTAGTACGCAGAATTGTAACTGTATTTTAGAATTTTGAATGGCTTGGTATACAAGCAAATGCTAGTAAATATCTTCCCCTGTCAGTGTGACTGCTATATGTTATATTTATGATAGTTTCCATACACTTAAGAACATGAACTTCCCCAGTGCTGTGACAATGATATGATCTTGGATGTATCACTTTGCACTATCAGTATATCAAAAATAAGGAAGGGGAGCTATTTATTTTAACTTTTATTTAAGTGGCAGGATATGAATTGTCTTCAGTCAAGACTATTGTGAACTATGATTTTTGAGACAGGGCATTTAACGACTACTTATTTTTGGTACCTAAGCCTTCAATTTCTATTTATTCCAGAACATGGGTGGTTATCCTCTTCATGTTAGACAAGCCTATGCTAGAGACCAGAATTCTGAGCGTACTCATATCTATATGAATCACTTTGAGTCGATGACAATGACTGCTAGAAGAAGAAGCTCCTCAAATAGGTTCCTGTAAGTTTACTTCTACTGTCAATGATAATTTTTCCCAGATTTAACCTTTAAAGAATTTGGTGGCCTGATTGGTGAATTTTTTTTCTCTTAAGCATGAACGTATTTCACAGTGACATTTCTCGTGATGAGCTTCAGCCGTAAGTTAAAGGAGTGCAGGTACTGTCAAAGAATCAAACCTGTGCTTGTGCTGTTGTAAAGGAAAGTTTGAAGTGCTTCAGTATTGTTCCATGTGACATACAAGGAAGGTCAGCCCAGGCTTTCCTCAACTCCTTTTCTCAGGTCTAACAATACAGCCATCATATTTCTAGATAAAGAAGTGGCTGGAGTTCCCTGCCAATCCCCAGCTTTGTCGAATCTTAATGGCAGAGTCCTCTCACAGAATTTTAAAACTCTGTTAAAATGTCATGAATATTAAAATAGTTGCATAAAATTAAGTTAGCTTAAGCTACTTCATTTACTTTCAGTGCAGGCAACTATGACAATTTACTACCTGTGTCTGAAGTTGTTTCCATCTGTGCAGAGCCTATGACGATGCAGGAAAAGGTCCGTTCGTTTTTTCCAGGTGAATTCCATTCTGTACATTGTTTTCAATTCTTTTCAGTGTCAAGTACTTTTTAATTACTTTTTTTCCTGTATAAACAATGGGAAAGGCTGGGAATAAGGAAAAATTACCAGGGTTTTTGGAAGACTGAAAATTGTTCGGTATGGGTTTTGACTGCCAAAGTCCCCCTTACCAGTGCATTAAAGCTATCAGCTATTATAGCTATTATATAGCTATAAGTTGTCCATTCCAGATCTATTCCCTTACTGTATTGTGGTTGTCTCATTTTTTGGCATTTTAGCCATGTCAGAAGCAGGCAACCATGACACCTAATAACTTTTTGCCAAGTCAGAATTTTCTGTCGCAAGTATTGGTATAGACAATTAGGAATTCATTTCAGGATAAATGTTTACGTGACTTCATGGCAACAGTCCCGTTTTCATTCTATTAGGAATTAAAACAATTAAAAAGAAACCTATTGCTGCGATTTCTGCCCCCTGCCCTTCCTCTGCTTCTGTTGTCATAGGTGTTGGCTGAAGAACAAACAGCTCCACAACCGCAGGAGCAACAGTCTGGTCAGAAGCAAGAAGAGGAACAAACAGCGGAGCATATCCAAACCCAGTGCCAACCACAGGGGGAAACACAGGTGAGAAGCAAAAACACAATTTGCCACGTGGGGTGTGAATTCGGTTCGCTCCTGCAGTTGCAGGCAGAGAAATACATTCCTCGCGGCTAAATGAGCCTGTAAGCCCAGATTCGTGTGTGCTTACGGCATCTGTTTTGACTTCACTGCGTGTAGGACTCTCAGCAACTCTGGAGAATCGGGACTGAGTAACAGGAACATTTTGTTTTATGTGGGCTGAGGTGAATGGGCTTAAATGTTACCAGAACCACGGTCTTGTTGTTCAAGGATGTAAGAATAGTATTCAAAGAATAATTATAGACAAGCTCCTTCTTCAAGATAGAGAATTTTGGGCTTCATCCCAGAATGGGTTTGATGATGCTGAAAAAGGAATTCCATATATAGAGAGGAACAAATGTCATTTTATGGTACTAATATAATTGTACCTGTTCAATGTATTTACCTCCCTCCTTGGAACAATTTCTTAAACCCTCACGCCCTCTTTTGCAATCGCTTTAGAACATTTGTAAGTGTTAAAAATACAAGTTTACTTTACGGCACTTTCAGGCTTCGGGACGTAGGCTCTCTCCAGCCGTAGCTGCGTTGCAGCAGGTGCCCGCCGTGCCCCCCATTCCAGCACAGCCCGTGCCCACAACCACCTGCCAGTTTTTTCAACCAGAAGCATTTGACAGCATCAGTTGTAACCATCGCTCTGATGACAACTGTGCAGATAGAGGTGCTTTTGATGACTCTGTTTCTATCAGGTAAAGTTTTACTTTTTATTTGCAGTTCCCATTTTTGCTATAGAAAATAAAGCTTCCGATCTGTAACGCATTGCTCACTTTAAAATTTATTGATGAGTGAAAATCATGGGAGAGTAGTCTTTCAGTAGGTCCTTTCCTCTTTAGAATATCTCCCCAGATGCTGCATTATTTAAGTGTAATTAATTATCATTAAATAGAATTTTTTAAACACTGTCATCTTTGCATACTCTGTCACTTCCTTTCAGTTTTCTCTCAAAGTTTTCCCCCTATACTTGTAGCTAGTAACCAATATTCACCTATAATTTTTAGACTTAGTCACAAAAAGTTCCAGGAACCAAGTCCTGACCATCAGACCACAGTGGCTTCTTTGTCACAGCCGAAATCCATACGGAAGTTATCCCTGTGGCAGAGTGCAGGTGTTATGTCAACCTCTGGAAAGCAGAGCTTACGTACAAGCTGGATTCAGTGTGCGCCACATCTTCGGTAGTCGATGTTAGAAGCAGTGCAATGTCTGCTTTGTAAATGAGAACCGAATGTCGTTCTTTAGCAGGTAGAAGTTATATTTTTATTGCTAAACTATTCGCCAGGGTTTTTTTGGGCAGTATTTTATTGTAATCAAGAGTAGCATGAGGTTGCTTTTTTCTTTCTCCCTTTGCATCAGAGAATTGTAGAATCGTTTAGATTGGAAAAGACCTTTAAGATTGAGTCCCACCGTTAGGCTGGCACTGCCAAGTCCACCGCTAAACCACGTCCCCGAGCACCGCGTCTCCACGTCTTTTAAACCCCTCCAGGGATGGGGACTCCACCACCTCTCTGGGCAGCCTGTTCCAGTGCCTGACTACCTTTTTGGTGAAGAAATTTCTCCTAATTTCCAACCTAAACCTCCCCTGGCGCAGCTTGAGGCCATTTCACCTCCTCCTATCGCTTGTTACTTGGGAGAAGAGCCCGACCCCCCCTCCCTGCCCCCTCCTGTCAGGGAGTTGTGGAGAGCGATCGGGTCTCCC